CATTTAGAGTTGTATTGGTAGTGGTATTTATTTTCCGATGAATTTGTAGACTTTTTTGGTGTTTTTCTACTACATTTTTCAAAAATAAAAAATAATAAAAAAATCCAGGCGGCCTCCAAAAATGAAGCGGGCGGGGACGAGAAATTTGGGTTTTTTTTACTTCGCCTTACACGTATGCATGGCTGAGCAAAAACAACACAAGTTCTGGCCCAAGACCTTGACAAAGTGCATCCTACGAAATCAGTAACGCACTTTTGCCATGTAACCTCAATCCCCCAAATTCTTCCACTTTGGCAAAGAGGATTGTGAAGGATTCAGGGCGGTAATGAGCGTGCAAGTCTCACCAGTTCACCTACACGTTTCCTGCGAACGTCTTTTTATCAAACACAGGCTATTCTAGTCACAGACTCCTTCTGAATTCACCCAATTGTCATCTGTGTGATTGATTGAACGGAAGTTGAGGTCAACATTTTTTATTTTATGATAGTCATCAATTCACAATTTTTTTTCATACATGTATGTTGTAAATTGTATTGCTTTCTTTTCTTCTGAAATACCCATTCCTTTCCATTGATGGGATATAGGCCCAGTTAAAGGACACACAATAAATGCAAGCCAACACACAATGTATAGGCCTACATGTACGGGTAGCAGGCTATACACATTGTTGATCCTACATGTACATACATGGCGCCCAGATGTGCTGCATTCTCGTAAATCTCGCAGGTTTTTTTAGGTCCAACTTACACGCTCTGTTTCATTAATTCATTTTTATGAACCAGGATATATCTTAATGGGTTTAACATATTGATAATCATATCCTGGTTGCTTTGCAACGGAAGTTGAAAATCTGAAAGTCATATCACTACAGTTTCACTTGATTACCAATTCTGGTTGCTGTTAAAGAGAGCCGGGCAGTGTCATTGTATAGGATTACATGTATCTCATAATGGACTAAGTCCAGCCCATTTTGTTCATCTATAATGCGTGAAAGAAATCCAGTGAATTTAACCATTCTGAATCGGTGGAATATAATTTTGTGCATGTAAAAACCTGTTCATTTTTGCTGGACCCAACGAGGGCCTATAGTACTCTTTGTACCTGACAGACTGACTGACTGACTGGGTGACTGTTGAAGATGGCCAGGCAGTGCCATTGTATAGGATTACCCCATAATGGGACATTAAAAATCCAGTCCATTGTGTACACCAGACATGCCAGATGCATGAAAAAAGACTCCAGTGAATAGCCATTTTGAATCAATTAAATAGAATGTGTGCACTCTGGGACCAGCTTTCTGGTCTTGCCTTGTTGTTTCAATGTTCACTACATTTTGTACGTTTACATGTAGTAGCTTTCCATCCAGATAAAAGAACAACATTCTTTCTGTAATTTAGCTAGGAACCTTACATGTATATCCTCCATAAATTCTCCACTGCACAAGAAACTTTGTTTTTGGGTTTTTTTACTGAAAATCCCAGGATAACTTTATGTTGGCATCCTGCTGTGCATACATACATTCAGTTGAAATCTAATCGCTGTCATATTTGTATCAGCAGAAAAGACTTACATACTGTTATCTTGTTAAGCAAACAGGAATTTATCATAATTATTTCCACGCTTACAGAGGATGAAGAATTTGACCTATAATCAAAGCACAAAGTCAATGCAGGAAATCCTCGTTATTACAAGCAATGCACATAAACCACACATCCAAACAAATTGATGATGTTATCTTTAACAGTTTATCATGTTATTGATGAAAGTGATATGTATTGTTTGACTTGGCTTTGTATTTATATTGTATTTCTATCTATTGTTTGACCCAACATTACTGGAACATGTTTGCATAAAATACAAATGTGTTGGCCTTCAGATGTACTTTAGATGTCAAACAAAAATCAGGAAACAAAATTTAAAGGTGACATTTAGCCAGATTTCACACACACAAAAAGAGGTTTTTGTTTTTTTTCTTGCCTTATTTCAACGTCTCGATCTAAGGAAATCCATATAAAATATTTACAGAAAAAAATGTTGGGAAAACCACATTTTGTTTATGTGACACTCATGTACTGATATTTTAAGCATCCAATTTTCAGCCAAACTGTGTGATACCATGGGCCTTATTCACGAGTTCGCCATTGGTGTGGAGTTCCCTGAATGTATTTCATTAATTGATAACTGTTGAATGGGATGGCGCCAGACTATTTATGCAGGCACAATGCACTCCTTATTTTACTGTAATTTTTTTTGTTTTAAATATGGCTTTAAACATAAGGGAATGTTTAATTACAAATTTTAAATTATTCATTGAAGCAGACTGGAATTTATGATAAATAAGCTTGCTTTCATTTCCAAGTTCCAAAAAGTAAGATTTTACCAAACTTTCAACTCAATATGGCTGACTCATGAATAAGGCCCATGTTCTATACAACATGTACTGTTAGAATTATACGCCTAGCAAATCCTAGTGCCCACATGTGTTTGAAGAACATTTTGAAAAGAAATATGTGTGATTGGAATTATGAATAGCACTCCAATGGCTGGATTTTGTTTTGGATCAAAATTTTGTACTAAAATTCCTTCACACGTTAATTACACGAAAACAGCATATTCCCAAGCTTTAGTTACAATGTAGTTGTGTGACATTTTGTATTTTACTTTTTAACGATCTTTTCAAGCACCATCATTTTCATAGTAAACATGTTTTTTGAAACCAAAATTAATTAAAGACAAGAAATGGCCTTCAATTTCTCTTTCTTTCTTTTCCTTCTGTATAAAGTGCTCATACCTGTGTCTTCATGCCTGGCTAAGATTCGGAAGTTTGAAAATATTACTTTGACATCTGATGAGAAATATGCTCAGCGAAGCATAAAAGTTATTTGCCAGACTGCACATGGGGAATTTGTGCATACATGACAACACATGTATCACACATGTAATATTGGTCCAGCAGTTTCTCAGTTTAAAGGGGCACTGCGGCCTCCACTGTGTAATATTCTCCTCAAAAAGTCTGGGAAACAGTTTAAAAGCAAAAGGAAACCATTTACAAAAAAAATGTGTTTTTGCCAATTTAAGGAACAGCAACGCATTTAATCTGAGGCAGATTATTGAAAATGTAACCTCAGTAAATGTCAGGGTTTTTTTCCTCGAAAACTGTGAAAATTACAAATGTAGGTTTCCATTTGGTCAATACCATTGTGAGAAAATAATGGTAAAATGTTCCTCTTTTCTCGAAAATGACAGCATATGGTGCAACCATTTCACAGAATGCTTGATCCTGCTATTCACAGTTTCATTTTTGAATGTGTCCAGTTGCTGTCCATGACCTTTAAAAACATCATACTGAGTGAAAAAAAAAACCTTTAAAATGTTCTTTCACTTTTGTATTAAACGTCTTTGCTTGTCTTATACAGAGTTTCAATCTGTAGTCATTTGAAGGATTTTACACTGGTCATCAAAATTAATGTCTTTCACTCCTCGTCCTAATTCCTATTTCTGTGATTAAACGGCCTTTTATGTTTTGATACTTGCTAAACCTTTGTATGCTTAGTCGGTTTCCAAAGGCGTACAGAAAAATCACGCGTCAAGTAATTCTGTAAGGCTTGCAAAACTAGGCTCCGGGCCCTTTTCATCACAGAGAATAGATTCACAAAAAGCAATCGGTGAGGATTGAAAGCGATTGCGATCTTGGCCATAGGCTTTTCAGGAGAAGTAATAAAACATGAAACCCATGACGCTTTGGATGGCAGAATTCAATCAGAAAAGTCTCCTTTGGTTTGCTAGTGGTTCAGGATTTTAGGATCATCCCGGATTTATGGAACCTCGCTACAACTTACAAGGCTGACTGATTACTTGTGATACATCATGTTCGTGTACATGTACATGTACATTGTACGTGTATACATGTACATGTACCTTGTCAGTTGTATCAAAAGTTTACCGATGGAAAATGTGCATGTGCATTTCAGGGGTTTCTTGAAATGTGAATCTGATTATCTGATCATTAAACATGGACTTTAACTGTGAGAAAGAAAAAAACATTTGACCTTTTTTATCAGTGGAAACTTTTCGTAGCCAATTCTTCTACAGGGTGAGTCAAAAACAAAAACACATCCCAAATGGCAGGACGAATTTTTGAATGAAGTTTTGCCTGTAGCACTTTCAAAATCTAGGATTTGAAAGCCCAGTCATTATTAGCTTTCTTTTAGTACATGTACAAGAATCATTCAGATCACTCATGTACTTTTCAAGTTACGGAAATATTGTTTTGAAGTTCTGTCCATGGATCACAAAAAAGTAAGTGTTCTTTCAGCAAAACAAAAACAAATCTCATAGGGATGTATGTGAATTGTTTTCATTTTGCTGCAAGAACATGTGCCTTTTTGTGATCCGTGGACAGAACTTAAAATTGTGTCTGTGTTCAAAGTGCCGTAACTTGAAAAGTACGTGAGTGATTTGAATGATTCTTGTACTGAAAGAAAGCTCATTTATTGGGCTTTATATCCTATATTTTGAAAGTGTTACAGGCAAAACTTCATTCAAAAATTGGTCGTGCCATAAGGAATGCGTTTTTTTTTTTACTCGCCTTGTAGTGTACAAACCAATCCGTATTTCTCTTGTGCTGATTTGTTCAAAGAACTGCCAGTTTTGTTTCAAAAAACACTTTTCATAATCTCTGATTTCTCTCACCACTGTGTTTAATGTTTTTCACGGTGGTGGTGGTGGGGGGGGGGGGAATAAGAGGCCCAACCATTCCCCTTGCATTCATTTTTGACTATTTAAATTGAAATATTTCTAATTGTGTTTGTGCACAAATTGTCAAACAAATATTAATGATTTGTCCACCTCCACAGGATGCAAATACATGTAATATTCTCTTTTTCAGATCCCATGGGCTGTTTGAAGTAATTGAAATTCTTTAACTTCCTCCTTTCAGTAAAACACAATACATTTCTAACCGACAATATTGGTCTGTTATTTCTCTATGACATTGACAGATCACCAAGGTTCCAATCGAGACCTGCGAGTTGTTGACAACATGCGGGGATTGTTTGCGTGTCGGAATGGACGGAACTGGGGACCCACACTGCGGCTGGTGCCCGTTACTGAACAGGTATGCAATTCATCCCCTGTGCTGGTTACCGATGAACCCAACTTAAAGGGGTAATGTCATAGAATTTGGTTTTTGAATGCAGTCCTTGAAGTTCATTTTTGTGTCCTATTTAATATTATTTATTCGAATTACCACCTTAAAGGTAATTTAGGGCCTTTTTAGTTTTAATGCTAATGTGAATTTCCATATTCATGAGCAAAAATGTGATGTCATTCAAGGCAGAAACTTAACTGATGTATACACAGCTGCTTCAGCACGAAAAGTTGCCTAAAGTTCAGAAATTTTGCTGCGTCAATTTTTTTTATTTGGTGTTTATTTTGACGTTTTACTACATGACATTAAGTCAATCACCCAACTTCATGCACAAAAATGTTTTCAGTGGGTTCAACTTTTTGGTTCAGAATTTGAACAGAATTTTTACAGGCAAAGTGGACCATTTGTAGCTTTCCAAAAAGTAACCAACCACATAATCGTTAAGAAGCTTATATAGTCGTGTTCCCTAACGTGGCCCACTTCGAAGCTTACCCAACTTTCCTCGTGTAGTGTTGCCAAACCTCTTTGTTGACAAACCTCAAATTCATGCAGTAAAATAATGGTACTTTTACCTTATTAATGCTTGCTATTTAACCTCCGTGAACAATTTCGGTTTCATAAAATTTAAGCCGAAATTAAAAAACGGTTGCGTCCGGAAATTGGGCACAAATTGGCGGAGTGTTCCCTAACGTGGTGCACTTAAATAAATCTCGGAAAATTCCAAATTAACATTTAAGAATTTCTGTAAACTTGATCAATTCTGATAAATTATTATTATTTCTACTTACGGTACATACCCAGCCAGATGTTTGTCAGAAAATTATTTTCTTATTTTTCGGGGCGTTTTCAAAGGTTTCACTTTGCACTTGAAAATAAAATAGGAAAATCACGCCAAAATTGAAATTTCAGTTAAAACTTTTGCTCTAGCTAGGCGCTACAGGCGAAAAATCAAAGTGCGCCACGTTAGGGGCCGCGCCACGTTAGGGTACATTGTACATCAACAATACTCGGTTTTAAGATAGTAATGACTCTAAAGTTCCTGTGAAATTATTCCTTCTTGCATGCTGTACTTTAAAAGAAAACAAATAAAAGAAGGTCACTTCCAAAGATGTGTCAAGTGACACATTTTTGGAAATTTCCATTTGTAGTTGGTTTGTAATTGGGTGAATCCGTGAATGGGTGCGCGCATTGACACAACGCACACGCGCATGTGGTTGCTCTTACGGTCTGTCGGGTTTAGTGTGCAACATTACGTTGCTACAAATTATCGGCTGAATGAAAATCATGTCCCAAATTCCGATTTCTGGATTTTGCCAGGGGAGGGCGCAATTCAAAATATGACTCAGCAACTTTTGAATTGATAACGAGATCCAGAACATTGTTTTCTTGGAATATGTACATCATTCACTGAGCTAAAACTTCATCAGGTTAGTCGTTCACGTGTAGCATCCGTCTTTAGATTTTGAGCACTTCTGTTGCTTTTAACGAAAAAAAAATGCACAAATATATAACGGTCCATTCTACCTTTACAAGTAAATGATATCACAGCCACAGTTCCCTAATTTGTCACAACAAACACATCTCTTACTTTCCGAGGAGTTTTGCAATTTTCTATTTCTGCGTAAATTAATATAGGATATGGGACTTTAAACCCAGACAAACATGTAACCTTGGACATGGTTGGCAGATTTCACCACATGTTCATGCACATGCCGAGGGTTCAAGACTCACTGAGCCAAATCAAAAATCCAGATGCACGCTGCACATTAAACATCTGTGGTTTAACCGTTTAATTCCACCAAACGGCACCCGCTAAGATGTAAGTCACCGCCCAACCTTAACGGAAGAAAAATAAGATTGGTTTCTCATCTGGAGGGTACAAGTTTGTCAAGTTGGCAAGCATTTTTTAATTGAACATGACACTTTTGTGGGGTAGGATACGATGACAATACAGCAAGTGATTACTCGTTCTTGTAAACGTCTTGGTAAAGTTGCCTTCATTACTTTTTACAAAGTAGCAATTTCATATTTGATTGAAGCCTTAAGACTTTAATAGGTTAGCGGTGGATTTTTTTGTATGGAACCGTGATTTTTATGTTTTCCTTGTGGACTTCATGCATAAACTTGTCACGTTGAGGGGGGGGGTGGGATTCACAAGAGACAATGTGGGGAAAAAATATATTCTTGTACATAACATGACTACATTTTGTACATGTATGTATGTGTTTTTGCACTGTAGGCATTTCTTGATCATGTGTTGGATTTGCATGTTGAGCATGTGACCCGTTTCATTTCAGTATGCACGTCAAACCACATTTTCACACCACAACAGAAATGTGTCTGTTATAAATATTAATGTTTCGCATTTTTTGCTGGGGAGATCGGGGTGGGGGTGTTCACGTTTATGCATAAAACATTTTTACTGCCAGAGGCAGGTTTATGCATAAACCATTGCCTGGGGCACCGTTACGCATTTATTGGTGGTGCATTATGGAGTGAAATTCAAGAATCTTCCAAGACAACTTACTACTTGTGAAATGCTTTGAGAGACCTTATTAAGCACTACAGGGTAAACCCAAAAAAAATGCTACCCTAAAACATTTCCCTTTTAAAAAAAAAGGATCGGTGGATTGTTATGTTTTAGGTATCAGATTAAAGCTGAGAGCTTTTCTTTTAGATATTGAAACAATCGTGAAATTAGCACTTTGGGTTGCTGAGAAAATGCCAATTATGTAAAAGTAGTCATTTTTCATCCAGTACACACAAATTACCACAGTAAGGGATTTTCAATGCACCACCTACCGTATTTGTGCATGTCCTAATCCTTACAAACAACACGGCAAATAATATGACATGAGTAAAAATTAATTTGATGGCAATACATGTACATGTACCTTTTACTTTCCACTTGAACAGGTATCTCGTCCTTTTTAGTCGTATTTTAAACCTTTTCAGTATCATAAAATATGTCCAAATATTATACATTGCCCAAATGAAAGATAATTGCACAGTAGGCTTACAGTAACATGTTATTACTGTTTGAAGTACCGGTACTTGTGTAAAGGATGAAAAATGACTACTTTGACACAATTGTCAATTTCTCAGCAACCCAAAGTGCTATTTTTATGATTATATCACTTTTTTGAAGGAAAATCTATCAGCTTTAATCTGATACCCAAAATATAGAAAGCCACCAATCCCTTTTTTAAAAAGGCAAATGTTTTATGGTTGTATTTTTGTTGGTTAGGCCAAAAAAAAAATCTCCGGTTTCTGGTATGCGCGCGCGTCGCCGTAGCCATGCGTGTCGGCAAAATGAAAAAGGTTTTTTTTCAATGACAGATGATGTCTCAAAACCGCCAAACTCACTGGTTTGACTGGAATCCTGCTGCTGCACAATTTTAACGTGTTCTTAGATTGGGTTATGGTCGAGAATAAGCTTTATGTGGCCTCTCTGGACTCCCATATATTTGCACTAAGTTTAGTCGGGCACCATTTGCAGTCATCAGCCGACATTTGAAGCAAAAAAATCAGGTAAAAAAAAAAAAAAAGCTGCGTCGCCGCACCACTTTTTGGGCAAGCTCCATACCAGAAACCGGAGACTTTTTTTTTTTGGCCTTAGCCGGTATATACCGGTACCTGGCACATGTACATTTGTAAACTATATTAGCGCCCCACTTATTAGCTTCTACGTGTATGTCAAAAATGTCCACACTCTGGCCGTGACATTTATTAACAGTGCAAGCAGATTTGTAGGGATTCCGGTATGCAACGAAAGAAAATACCGACACTAAACCTTTGACAGATGGTGAAATATTCAACAACAAAAAATGAAACACGCTACTTGTACACTTCTGTCCAATTTAATACCTCAGTGCTTCTGTACCTGTGCAGTAAATCAATACTTTATCTGGATACTAAGATTCATGGTTGCAAAAGGTAATAGTTTCTGTCCTATGAACTGAAATTAAAACGGCAATCCATTTAGCTATACAATACATGTAGATTTTTTTTGGTTGGGGGACAAATTTTGAGGAAATCGTTAAGGAAATTTCACTTTCAGATCAGGTTTACATTTCCCTGAGGAATGGTGCAGCGGCGATTGTGTCATATCATTTAGAAGTACAGGTAGTCCTTTCAGTTTCCACATCTGATAGGAAAGACTTAAGCCCGTGAAACCTTGGGCATTAGTTTTGAAGGAAGTCGAATATGATCCTCTGTAATGAAAACCTTTTTCTCTGTTTCGCATTATGATGAAAAGTGAAGCATGACAAAGTACAGGTAGATGTATGGTTAAAGGTGGAGCATATCAAATGTAGCTATCCAAAAAGACAACTGACAAAATTATTGTTCAAACGCTTGTAAGTTGGTTTAAAGATAGTGATAGCACGAATCTCCCTGTGAAATTATTCTTTGTGGCATGCCGTCATTTTGAAGAAAGCAATAACAGTAGGCCATTGCCAAAGATGTGTCGAGTGAGGCATTTTTGGAATGGTTTGTAATTCAGCGAATCTGTGAATTGATGCGTGCAAGCATTGAGACGAAGCGCACACGCGCGTGGTTGCTATTATTTGTCAGTTCAGTGCATGACATCGCGTACATGTACATGTAGCTGCAATCGGCTGAATGAGAACGTGTTGTGGACGCTGTTTTCGGGCGCAATTCAAATCTTGACTTGGCAACTTCTGAATTGAAATCGAGATCCTAGAATATTGTTTTCTCGGAATATACAGCATTCACAGAGCTAAAATTTCATCAGGTTAGTTGTTTATAAGCACCCGTCTTTAGATTTTGAGCACTTTTGTTGCTTCAAACGAACACAATTGCTCAAATTACAAATGATCTACCCTAACTTTAAGACAAAATGCAATTACACCAAAACAATATGAAGTACAGCATCTCTGCAACATCTGAGGGTTTTCCTAATGAAATGAAAATTGACATTTTGTCCTTCACATTTTAATAACCCTGTCTATCCCACATTCATACCAGTTTCTGCTTTTTGTGAAATTTCTCTAAACATTCTTTATCTGAAATGGTTTTGGTAGAATATCATGATCATCATACCCGATACATGTACAAAATGTACATGATGACGTCATCATGACGTCACTTCAATTTTCATCTATAACAAATCCCTGATTGTGTACATACAAAGTTTCAACTGAATAAGCCTTGTACATGTATGTAGTTCTTTAGATATGCTCTTCATTTCATAACTTGCAACATTCCTTCATTTTGGGTTTTTTTTCCCCAAGAGGGCCAGCAAAGTGTCCTCTTCGTAGCTCACTCACTGACAACCACTTGCGAGCTGGGCAGTGCTGTCATATAGGATTACCCTGTAATGCCAATGAAATTGCCTAAATCTGGCCCACTGTGTAGACCACATGCATGAAAAGACATTCTGAATCAACCAGGGGTGTGAAATCTCAGCTTTAAAGCTGATTTCAGCTTTCTTTTGGTTTTGGATTTCAGCTTTTTTCAGCTTTTTCCCTCACTTGCTGTGTACAAAAGTATAAGATATCTCCAAAATTCAGCCTCTTTACACCTTTTTCAGCTGTTTTCAGCTATTTTTATCAGTGGTCACTCATACCCCTGATCAACTGAATAGACTTTTGTGCACTCTGCCTAACCGGTAGTATAGTCTACTAGGATTGACTTGTACTGTTTTGGTAAAATTTCTTAAAGCAAAACACTCTTAATCTAAGCTGATTTTGTCATCATCATGCTCCAGATTTTCATATCTCACACCATCTCATTGATTACTAAGTTGATCACCTGTCCGTTGATTGTCCCAGGTGTACAAGACGCACTGAAATGGAATGCCCAGGTGCAACGGATGAGCCATCGACCAATCGATGGATAGATAGCAGAAGCTCTTGCATTGAGATCCAATCAGTGACGCCTTCCAGTATTCCCAGTGACGCCACTGCTCTGGTAAGATTCTAGATTAGTAGCCCAGAACATTTTTTGTCTTCTTTTTCATCTCTGTATTCTATAATTGTTCTGAAATGCTGTTCTCAAATAATTGCATTTGCAGGGCTAAATACAATTCCCAAGAAATAGTGGGTTTTTTTATTTTAATAAAAATGCAGCGTTCTTAGTGAAATGTACCTACTTGTTTTTTATTTTTTGAGACACTTTGTGAATACGTTCCTGAAGTTCTCCATTTCAAGTCATGGTTAAATAAATGTAAAATTGCTAACAAATGAGGCTTAAAGTATAGGTTTTCCCAGCCAATTTCCTAAAATGTTCATTCACTTCTGAAAATCGGTCATTCATTTTCGTCTGAATTTGAGAATCGCTCTGAACAAGCGTTTCATTTTTGCTACCAGAGCATTCGATTCCATATCAGTTCAATCAATGAAGTGAATTAGCAACACCATTCAGATTCGTTTACAAGACTTCTTTTTCACTTTTATAGGGCGATTTCAAACGTTCACCATTTTAAGTCACTTTTAGTTTAATGCCATCGGCTCCTGATACAATTAGGAGTTTCTTTTTCATTAACCGTCAATAAAATTAGCTGTACCTGAAATCAATTTAGAAAAGGTATGCTTACGTAAATGAATGCACAGGTAATGTAATTGGCCATCTGTTTGTCAAAACCGAATGCACAGACAATGAAACGATTGAACTTTCGTTGAATTGAAATGGGAATAAAGATGTGCATTCAAATTAAAGACGAAAATGAATGAATGATTTTCAGAAGTGAATGAACATTTCAGGAAATTGGGCGGGAAAACCTATATAAAACCAATTAAAGTATTTGTTTCAGCTTTCAAAAGTAGTATTTTCTTTACAATTCTGTATGGACAATTTGTATCTGTCGTAGCTATCATTGAATGTGAGCAGCCTGCCTGTACTGAACAACAGCTTGCCCCACAAGTACCAGTGCGTCTTTGACTATCTGGGCTCAACGGAGGTCACGTCAATAGAGGGCGCCCTCATTCAGTGCTCAACCCCAGCCAACCTGCCAACGCTGCAAGGAGGTAAGCGCCCTTGACATTCATTCCTACCCAAAACTCCTTGGATGTGCTAAGCTGAAACTGTTGCCCGGCACAGTTTTGTGCTCAGCTTGAATCAGCTGATAAGTAGACATGAGAATTACTTAGTTATGGTTTAACTGAAGCCAGTTCCCATATACACATGTGTTACTGCTGGTGTCATATACAATTTGGACTCCTTATGAAATCTGGTCTGTTTAACCTTGGACTCATCCCTCTCATTTGACACACGCTGCATGTCCGCCAAGGCATGCGCAATACAACCAATGAGTCAACGAATTTCATAGAGTCCAAATTTTACACTACACCGGCCATACAGGTAGACAAGAAATCTTGACGCAGCCCTTGTCACAAACAAAAGTTCTTTGCATATCAGCTCTATGAAGAGAGCTCTATGAAGTGGGCCTTACATTGAGAATCAAACTTCTAAGATGCAATTGTTCCTTGGATCATCTGATTTTTCTCATTCTTATTACACTTCTAGCAATTTTTTGGAAGCCCGAAAAATACTAGTAGTTCTAGTACTAATGAGGACTATTAATGCACACATGTCTTTGCAGTGTAATAAAACGGTGTAACCAAAATATACAACAAAAATGAAAGCAAAATCATAGTTTGCTTGCTGTTGTAGGCTAAATTAAAGTACACTGTATTTTATTTTTAAAGTTGAGAGCATAGAATAAACTGCAAAAAGGGCAGTGCAGCTTTGCATTTTTACCAACTGCATGCAGCTACAGTACCGTACATGTACGATGAAAGACAAAACTGATCATTCATCTGAGACATGATTACAGTAAAATTGTTCTCATCGTTGTGTGCATGTAACCCTCTCCCTTGTGTGCATGTAGTCCCTCCAACTCTTGATTGCATTTGTAGAAGTCGTCTACATCTAAACATGCATTTCAAACAACATGTCAAACAAAGTCTCAAGCAATCTGGAACGAGTAAAACCTGGAGTACTGACTCTTTATTCAAAAGTATTCAAAAGTAGAATTACCCCATAACGCCAACGCATGGGTAAATCTAGCCCATTGTGTAGATACATGCATGAAAAATGCTCAGTAAATAACCATGCTGAATGAATGGAATAGAATTTTGTGCAGTCTGGCATCACCTTTACTATTGCCTACTAGTTTGGAGGTTTTCGTGTCACCCACGGGAAATACGAGTCCTTAATTCTGTATGTCTGTATACAGCCTGTCTCAAGAAAAAGGTACAATCAGAAAAAAAATTGGTTAAATATGAAATTTCAAAATAATTTAGTCATTCTTACTTGGCATAATATTAAAGAACAAAGACTGGGCTTTCCAATAGTGTTTGTTTGATCTTATTTGCTTTTGTCAATTCAGAGATATAATCAATTTACTGCGATACACCAAATCGATTTTGTGCCACTTTTATGCATGGGCAGAGTTGTTTCGAGTACTGTGCCATGCTGTCTTGAAGCTCACAAAAGATTGCAACTTGGCAAAAGAAACAAACTCGATTTTTGTGTTCCGCAGTAAACTGGAGTTATTTCTGGATTGACAAAAGCAAATGAGATGAAACAAAAAGTATTGGAAAGCCTGGTCTTGTTTCTTTAATGTGATGCTCAAAACAACTTACTTATGTTGAGATTTAATATTGAAAAAAAAAATCGTTTTCGATTGTACCATTTTTTTTTAGACAGGCTGTACTGTCTGTATACCGGTACATCTGTTGTCTGTTGTCCGTATGTTATAGTTAAGGTTCAAGTTTTTCAAATGACTGTCCCTTGTATTCGCCAGTATTCCATGAAACTTAGACTCAAGGGTCATTGAGTAGCAGAGATAATGTGGCTTATATTTTTGGTCAAATAGCATAGGTCAAAGGTCGAATGAGGTCACTAAGGTCATACATCAAAAGTATAATGAGGTCAACAAGGGTGACACATGTGGTCCACGGACCACTTGTTTTATATTCACTTTTTTTTTCTTTTTTTTTGTAAAAAATGTCCAGGCGACTTGATGGTGACGCTCTCCCTCCGTGCCACCGAGACCAACAAACTCATCGTCAACACGACCTTTGACTTCTACAACTGCAGTGCCTTTGATAGCTGCACCCAGTGTGTGGCCGACTACCTGTGCAACTGGTGTGTCTTTGAGAACAGGTGCATGGGCAACGCTAGCAGCTGCAACGCCTCAGGTGTCATCGTTGGACAACAGGTGAAAATTACTTTCATTTGGAAAAAAACAATAAGCAAAGACAATTGATGTGGGCGTCGTCAAATCAATTTGAAGGGGGCGGTGTGATAACAAAATCTATGATTGACTTCTTCGTGCTGGAAGTTTGCCGGCTATTTTTCCCAAGTCCGTCCATCCCCCCCCCCCCCAAAAAAAAAAAATTGTAAAGCTGACAATAGGGGTACTGTTCAAAGCTGGCAGGATTGGACCCTATCGGACAATAGGTGGAGCTTTTCTTGGTGGCAGATAATAGATTCTGCAAACATATGCGAAAAAAATTGGGCTATGAGACACTGCCCCTCCCCCCCCCCCCCCCCCCCCCCCTCCCCCAACATGACTCCCTGACAATTAACTGTACTTATTTGCCGTGCTACCAAAACATTGGAGAAAAGTCGTTAGAAATCCTTGGCAGAAAATCTTTTGTTTTAGCTTTTTAAGTAATACAATGCCATTTTGAAACTCTATTTTACTCACTGTACATGTACACAGAATTTCAAGACACAATTTTCAAACTAAATTTTTAAGGAGTCACCGCATTTCTCCAACATACTCTAAGACGCAATAAGCCTCTTTACTGATGACGTCATACTTTATTTACTTGTGCGCTTTTCTATGGGGCTACGAAACCATCGTCCCCATCAGGCTCCCATAAAAAGGCACACATGTAAACAACATGTGACGTCATCAGTACAGAGGCTTATTGCACTAACTTTCTCAGTCACAACCCAATTGTGCATCAATTGCCCAAACGTTGCCTTGCTCTGTTATGTTTGTTCAAAAAGATTATAAACATTTTCCTCAAACCTGTTTTAACAATCACATCCTGTGATGTACATGTACCAGATCCAGGTCAATTGCTCCTGATGTCTTGAAATGTCAAGTGTGTTTTGATTATCACACATATTACTGGTTGAAAATGTGAAGGTCTGATATGCACATTGATGTATCTCATCGGCCATGCTCTAACTGGCTTACAGTCAGCTGTGCAATTTGTTTCTTGGTTGGGGAAAAAACTAGATGAGGCGTCAACAATTGCAAAGCCAAATTTTGACCCAAAAAAAATTGACTGCATCTATTAGACTGCAAAGATTGTATCAGAACATGCAAAGATTAAATTATTAATTTACGTAAATCAATTTACAGGTACAAACAGACACAGAAAGGAAGGGAAAAGACTTCTGCCCGAGGATTGAAGACACTCCAGAAATTCTCATTCCAGCTGGGGAACCAGAATTTCAAAATTTCACAGTGAATGTCGCCAGACTCCCTGTAAAGGTAAGGGCAAACTCTGAAAAGCAACTACGTGTGCTGTAAAACATGACGTTTGACTGGTTTGTGATTGACTTACTGAACAACTTCTGATTGGCTTGTGATCGACTTGTGATTGGCTTAAGATCGACTTTTGATTGGTCTGTGATAGAATTGTGACCAACTTGTGATTGGCTTGCGATCAACTTGTGATTGGCTTGTGATTGACTTGTAAACAACTTCTGATTAACATGAAGCAGGACTTGTGATTGACTTGTGACCGACTTTTGACCAATCTGTGATTGGCTTGTGATCAACTTGCGACCAACTTGTGATTGGCTTGTGATTGACTTGTAAACAACTTACAACTTGTAATTAACATGTGGCAGGGCTTCTGATTGACTTGTGATCAACTTGTGACCAATCTGTGATTGACTTGTGATCAACTTGCGACCAACTTGTAATAGGTTTGTGATGACTTGTAATGATTTTATTTCAACTCTGTACATGTACATGTATATTGGAAGCTGAACTGACTTTAAGATACTTTTGGGTGTTGCAATTACTTTAATAGATTTGGGAATTTCAGGTACATTTGTGTAAAAATAGAGAAAAACTTTATTTGTTTTTGCATAGGGCCATTGAATTATGTTAAATTTTGATCAGCATACATGTATATACATGTAAGTGGTAGCAAATAGATTTGTAAATAAAGAAGAAGTAACGAATGCAGTATTGAATTGCCTTCTGCTGTGATGCTGGCTAGAAAAATCACACAAAACTGTGCCTTCAAATGTTACCATTCATTAAGTAATTTAGATATTATTGACATATATCCACTTAGATTGATTCTGTGCATAAACTCAAGTTACTCATATAACATGTATGTATACTTGTTATCCTCAATACATACTAAATTATCTGACCCTCACCCTGACATTTGTTTGGTGTTTCCTGAAACGACATCCAACAGTTTCCAATGTTTCCATATCCTGTCCTGGCAAACGATTGCGCAGACAATTAAGATCAAATTCCCTGCGATTTCAAAACATTGTTATCGCTCAGGATAACACTAAAATACCACTTACAATGTTATCGGATAATAACATCTGTTACGCCAACACCAAGATATCTGATTTCTATTGATGAATTCAAAACACCATTGTCACTTTCTGCAAAGATCAACATGATTATCCCGCACCCCGTCATCAAGACCGAATATTATTTTCACAGCAGAGGAAATCGGGCGTTATTTTCCTGCAGGGTTCTGTTTACAGAAGAACATTTTAGGAACTGGACAGTTTTGCGGGAAGAAATTCAGACCGCAATTAGGAAATTGTTCGAACAGACTTTCCCGGCTGTCTGCTTTCATTACATTGACCCATATACATTTACGTGATGTACATGCATCGTTTAACTTGAATGGAAAAAAAAAAGACTAGGAAAAGACAGCATGTGTTAAAATATATTGACATCTCGTTGGAGCACACTTTGGTGTGCTTGAAAATGGCAATAAAAGGGGAAAAAACCTTATACATGTAATTTTGATTGAAAATCATCGTTTGAAGCCCATCCGAGTTTGAACCTTACGATTTTCTTTACTCAAAATGATAATTGGCAAGAGGTTTTTTTAATATGTTTGGGTACATGCACATGTACATGTACATTGTAAGGGAAAATGTACACTATAAATAGATTTAATGTACATGTACAACTCTTTGCACATGTACTTTATTTTTTTTAGTGCATTTTTTTTTTCAAATGATTAATTACATGCCTAACTGCATAGCATCAAGCAGTGACATTTTGATTATTTTAAGGAACTTTCCGTGCTGTTTTCACCGCAAAAACAATAAAAAAAATTTAATTGCTATTTACAACAACTGTACATGTGTCTTGCAGTACACAAAAGTTATTCACCTTTAAAGGTAGAATGAAGCATTTTTTTTTTTCGTTTGAAGCAACAAAAGTGCTCAAAATCTAAAGGCGAGTGCTAACAAGTAACCTGATGTACATGTACTTTTAACTTTGCGCGTGCTGTACATGTACATGTCGAGAAAAATACCCACAAAATTTTGGATCTCGATTTCAATTCAAAAGTTGCCAAGTCATGTTTTGAATTGCGCCCTCTCGTGACATAATCCCGAAATGAGCATTCAAGACATGATTCTCATTCAGCCGATTGCAGCTACAGGGTATGTGATGTCACACACACTGAACCAATGAATATTAGCAACCGCGCGTGTGTGCGACGTGTCAACATTGCATTCGCGAATTCGCCCCATTACAAACCAACTGCAAACAGAAATTTCCAAAAATGTGTCACTTGACACATCTTTGGAAATGGCCTTCTTTTATTAAATAATAATAATAAATAATAAATAAAATAAAATTCATTTAGGCCTATTGTCCATTTAAAAGATAAAAATGGAAAATTTACATGTCTAAACATTGATGATGAAAGCTCCAAAACAGAACACTTATAAAAAATACAGTTATAATGATTAAACTAGATTTATACATACAATTTTACAGCGAAAAAAAATGTATTAAAAATGTTAAGATGTTATTATTAAAATGTTATTGTTTTCTTCAAAATGACAACATGCCAGAAGGAATAATTTCACAGGGAGTTTAGTGTTATTACTATCTTGAAACCAAGTAAGCTTTCTATCAATTGTTTCTCGGTTACGTTTTGGAAAGCAGCAAATGGTCCACTCTGCCTTTAAAATAAACCTACAAATCAGCCTCGTAATTACATGACAAATATGAAATCATTTGCAACCTAACAATAATTCACAGGCAAACCTGTTCCCGCCCCTATTAGAATCAATAATGTAGGAGCAGAGAACCAGTCTACGTGCATGGCGGTTCTGATTGCGCACAAAGTAAACCCAATGTAAAAAAAAACCTTTATTTGGCCAAAAAAAAAAATAATAAGTCGGTCTCTGGTCAGCGCGCGCGTTGATTTTAATCATGCGCGTCGATCTTTTTTTTTCCAAAATGTTCCGTGGTAGCTCCAACAGCGCCCTCTATTTCCGCACCTCCTCAATTTTTTTTTACCAAAGAGCACCAAGGAATGGGAAATTGCACCAAGGCAAATGATCGAAAGCACCAAGGCAAATTATGGAGGACACCAATGTACATGAGGACACAAAACAAAAAAAAGCACCCCACCTTGTCTGTACAATCCAAGCTTGAAGAAAAAGAAAAAAAAGCAAAAAAAAAAAAAAAGCCGCGTGGCCGCGTCGGAACTTTGGTCTGACCAGAGACCGAATATTTTTTTTTGTTGCCATTCAGAGGGTTGTTGATGCCCAAAGTACATGTAGAAGGGAAAAAAATAATTGTTGTTCTTAAAATAAACACCACAATATCAAGAACACGGAAAGTGCACCTTAAAAAAAACTGGAGCAAATGATGAAACTCCCTCTCATCTGTTTATCTTTCAAGAATTCAACTACTCTTCGAGCTGAAACTTTCAACAAATCGTCACTTTATGCGAGAGAAGACAGTTTCATTACTGCGCAGCATGCACAGTAAACAATCATTCGAGCTTCGGACATGGAGGCGCGTCTCTGGTAGACGTTATTGACTCTTGATTGTCTCCATCATGATGGATTCGGCTACTGTGGTCAGATTGTTTAACATTATTGTCAGCCACTTTTGATGCATGTGTTTAATTAACGTCTATTTCTTCCATAGTCTGGCTACATGTGTGTTCTGAGGCATAACGGATGGGCAACGGAGAAAACGACTCCAGGCATCAGACTCAGTGACTCAAGAATTCTTTGCTCAGGCATGGAGGTAAGAAACAAGATTCCAGGTGAATGATTTCAGTGGCTGGTCCAGGAATTTTTTTGAAGGGGCTGGCTGGGATGTTGTCCCCCAAGATCTTCAAGGGGCGGGGTGAAGGTGAGGTGTTTAAACCAATGAATAAAAGATCACAGGCTCCTAGGCAGATATCAGAGTTTGCAATTTGTAGTGATGACGTTTTTTCCAGGGAACTTAAGAAAAACTAAGATTATTTTAGGGTAGTTGCCACAGTTACCTCCTTGGATCTGTCCTTGGGTTTATCAAGAATCATTGGTGAAATATTGGAATGATCGAGGGTAAAAACAAAAGAAGACACAAAACGCTTAAGAAAAAAACAGCTAAGTTTTTTTTTTGCCTTTTCAGCAAATTGTCAATAAAGTTGAAATACATTTACAGGTTCAGAATTTTACGAAGTACATGTATATCTCTTTTCTAGGACTTTCATGTATATGACAAATGTGGTAAGTTCACTGTCTTGAAGGAAAAAAACAGAAGTTTGCTAAGGATGGAAAGGTATACTTTCTGAAGCGTCAAGAAAACACTCTCACCACCAACACTGTTGCTTTTATTTCTTTTTCACAAACCTCATTCTTGTATTCAATGTGTGGAGCAAGGCTTTAAAATTCTACATGATTAATGAATATATGCATTATGAAAAAGGAGAGTCGATTTACTGGGCATGTTGCAGTGTAATCAGGCCATGGAAGAAGAGACTGGCAAAAAAAAAAAAAAAAAAAGTGAAGACACATATATTTATGTATATATTGTTTATACACTGTAAGGATGACTTGGTGTGTTGCACTCTTTGTCCGTATAAAGAATAGCCATTGTTTGATATTTTTTATTATGAAAGGTAATGTACAACATTTGCTTTTCCTGTAATTTTCAGAAAGAGATGGATTTGGGGGTTAGTATTTTATTGGAAATATTTTTACACTGACCTGTTTAAAGGTTAGTGTTAATGGTTGCTGGGAAAACTAAGAATAATATGGCTGTTTTTTGTAGTCAGGTTCCCTGACCCTACTTCAGATGAAATGGGGCAATTGACTTCCGGGAATTGTCGGGTCAGGGAACCAGACTAGCAGCAACTCGAGGTTGATCCCTAAGGTACCCTGTAAAAACCGTCAGGTAAACCTTCAGGTAAACCTTCAGGTAAACATTCAGGTAAACCTTCCAGTGAACCTTCAGGTAAACCTTCAGGTAAACATTCAGGTAAACCTTCCAGTAAACCTTCAGGTAAACCTTCCAGTGAACCTTCAGGTAAACCTTCCAGTGAACCTTCAGGTAAACCTTCAGGTAAACCTTCAGGTAAACCTTCAGGTAAACCTTCAGGTAAACCTTCAGGTAAACCTTCAACTAAACCTTCAGGTAACCTTCAGGTAAACCTGTTTTATTTTCATTATCCCCTTACTTTCAATTTTTTACTTTCCAGTTTGACCATAAATTGGAAATGATATGTAGGCATGCCAATAATCCAAAGGGTGTTGATTTCTTTTGTCAACAGTACGGCTACAGTATGGATGAGAATGAGGTCACTGCGGACTTGCAGATCCGCTGGGGAGATGCACATGGAGGATATTTTCTGGACAACCCATCCATGCTAACTGGTAAAAACAAATCATCAAGTTTCAGAAGACTTTCAGTGCCTATATCCCTTAATCCCAACTATACCAGATCCTTCCAACATTCAAACGGAGGATTTGAAGGGGTCAGAACCAGAAAGTTATCATGGAACTTGAAGATTAAAGTACAATAAATGTGTAAATGATGGAATACTGACAATAAGTGAATCTGTGTGATGCTTGAAGATGAAGATTGAATGAATCAGTTGCCTCCATCCTGAATTCCGACTTTGATTTAAGTTAAAGGAAGAGTAGATCATTTGCAGCTATCCAAAAAGTAACTGATGAAATTATTGTTGAAAAGCATACTTGGTTTAACGATAGTAATGGCACTTTCTGGCATGCTGTCATTTTGAAGAAAACAATAAAAGAAGGTCATTTCCAATTTGTTTCTACATTATAATTCAGCGAAGCCGTGAATGGGTGTGCGCGCAAGCAATAAGACGATGCGCACACGTGCGCGGTTGCTATTATTGGTCAGTTCAGCCCGACATCGCGTATCTGCAATCGGCTGAATGAGAACGTGTCCCAGACGCTTATTTCGGAATTCAAAACATGACTCGGCAACTTTTGATTTGATATCAAGATCCTAGAATATTGTTTTTCTCGGAAAGTACAGCATTCACTGAGCTAAAACTTCATCAGGTTAGATGTTAAGCACCCTTCTTTAAAATCTGAGCATTTTTGTTGCTTCAATGAAAAAAATGCACAAATGAAAAATGATAGGTGCTACCTTTAAACAGCTACGTATGTGTGGACAAACATTTTCACCTGCCTCTAAGCAGTAATAAGGTTTTTTAATCAGAACATTCAATAAGTAATTTTGTCTTCAATCTTCACTTTTCCTTATTCAGTGACTTTGTACAAGTGTGGAGTCAAACGCAGCACTTGTGGCCAATGCCTCCTGGCCGATGCCAAATTCTCTTGCGGTTGGTGTAAACCGTCTCAGATGTGTAGCATAACGACGGCGTGCACAGACAGGCAGGATTGGCTGAGTGGACAGGACTTGTGCCCTGATCCAAACATCACCTCGGTAGGCATCTGTAGATTCATTGAGCAAGTCATAAAACTGTAGAGTGCTGGGCGGTGCAGAGAGTAACTGCAGGGCAGTTTTGGAGGGTACATTGGGTTAATCGGTCAATAATACTCATTATAACACCTCACCCACAGATTCTGTGTCTTGATTGGCCGAGAGCGAGTCACATGTTACTTTCTAATTTTGCTATCTTTCTGTGCATGGCCAAAAGTACTATACCCGTAGCAACCAAAGTACTATACCATTAGCAACCAAAGTACTATTTCCACGGCGCGGTATTTTTGTGCAAATGGATGCTGGTGTGCGCGTAGCGCGTATTGTTCCATAGAGAGCGCGCCGCAGACTTGGGTTCAAACATTTCGTGAAGGGTTAGTTTGGAAGAGAGAAATACATTTTCCACCAATTTTGTATTGAAATCGAAGTTTTTTTCAACAGTGTTCAGATTTAAATAATTTAAAATATTAAAATCAAGCAGGATCTGTGGGTGAAGTGTTATAAAACAAATATTGAATGCTTTATCTCGTGGTGAAGTAAAACTAACCTCCCTCGATGATCCATGGACCATTCTATTTTCCCTCGGCTTCGCCTCGGGAAAATAGAATGTCCATGGATCACCTCGGGAGGCTAGTTTTACTACACCACTCGAAGCATTCAATATTTGTATAATATGTACTGGCGCTGGCACATGTGTACTAGCATTCTATTCAACTATTGACTGGCTCAAGTGGCATAGTAAAACTCCCTCTCAACAAGCGGATCCATTGAACATTCAATTTTCTCAAGAAGAAGGTGAAAGAAATTAGAACGCTCCATGAATCACTGAGCGGGGCTAGTTTTACTGTACCGTGAGTTAAAGCAGTCAATAAACAACACCTCAATCTTAGATTCTGCAAAGCTTTAGACATCAATCCAAATGTGTGTAAAATTAATTAATAATGACTTGAACTTTTCTTAAGTAAATCCCCAACCATCACCACCACCATAAAAATAGGTACTTACGGTATGTGTGCACTTCAGCCAATTTAGTTTTTCTCCTTGCAAATTGTTCGCAATTTGTTTCACCTTTGAAGAAGTCTTTGCTAAAGATGAAATATATCAGACCTCTCTAACTGTATAATTTGTTTTACTGTTAAAATGAAAAAACGTTGTTTTTCTGTTTAGGCATCTGCAATCTCCTGAAAAAAGGCTTTCATTTCTGTGATTAGACATGGTGGACAGTCTACCTGTGCAAGAACCACATTATTGTTGGTCACAAATAATTCTAAATTACAGTAATTATTCCATAACAAAATATGGGTATTTTTTAAAAGCAATCCAGAGTTACCTAAAAAGATTTCATGATACTGTTAGACTTTGCCCTAACTACCCCTAGATTTCATTGTGTTTTGGTTGATGTCATGCATTTTGTGGTCTTGCATTCCGTAGTTCCAGCCCAAGAGTGGTCATGTTGCCGGAGGTACCAGAGTGGTCATTGAGGGATATAACCTGGGGCAGACCGCCAGCGATATCAAACGAGTCACTGTGGCTAATATGTCATGTCAGATGATAGAATCAGAGTACAAACCTGCAGAAAGGTAATCAGTTTAAGACAAATACCCAATTAAAAACAGTTAATTTTTTAAAAGTTAATGATGTGGTGCTTAGGTACTGTTTTGCGCCAAAGTCTCAAAACGTTTCACAATTATTACCCCTGTTCATTAGGACATGACGAAACCACTTTTCTGCAGCACCTCAAAACCAGAACGTGTAGTCCTAGGTGGAGAGATGTTATTGTAGTAAAGTATGTTTCCCAAGAACACAAGCACCATGTTCCCCTGTCTGGTTCTAACTAGTCCTGGTTCCAAGAAATCCTTAGCAGTGTAATGTTTCAGCGCGCACAGGTTATTGGACTGTGCAGGAATTTACCAAAGCAGGTGCCCTTTACACACATGGCCCTAGGGCCGCAAACGACGTGTGAATTTCGCATTTCTGCCCTGGAAATTCCAAGCAGAATGGAGTGTTTTGTGTTTGACTATGTGTAATTTACATTGTACATGTAATTGAGTAAATAACTTTCATTATGGTTTTTATACAGGGTTGTGTGCAAGACTGGTGCTAGCACGGCTGGGGCAGCAAATGGTCCAGTGGTGGTAATGATAGGCAGGGAGAATTCCATGGAGGAAGATGAAGCAACGACGAAGGGAGAACATTTCTACTTCGTGGCAAGTTGATTATCCTTTCTTTGACTGAATCCTGTTCTGTCCTCTTGACAATTTTATGTAACGCATTTTGACACAAGCGTTTTATTTTATAACAAAATTGTAATGAAAAAGAAACTTGTTCCTGTTTTTTGGCATCTGCAACCCCTTTAAAACAAATATGGGTTGTTTTAGCGCTCAAACAAAATTTAAGAACATCATCTATTTTCTGGGCCAAAACTAAAAGAAAGTAGCACAGATAGTGTATCTTCAGGTTCATTGGAGGGCAATGTCATGGTTCTGCTAAGTACGGCATTCTTACTTGTACTTACCTATTCAGCATTCTGTGCTAACAATGCTAGCACAGAATTCTGCAATCACTGGGTTCTTTGGTAGCCCTATGAAAACATGCATTCCGAGCCATGTTATTATTACTGGGGTCAATATTGGTCAAGACCCCCATTGGTTTGTTAACAGTAGGCTAGGAGATGAGGAACAAAATTTCGATCCCTTGTGACCTTTTAAAAACAGGAGGACTAATTAGATGAGCTTTAATAAATTTTTAACCAAATTATTTGCTTACCAGAAACCGATTACCGGCCAAAATGTTATAAGAATTCTATTAACTGTGACTGGTTCTCTGATGGTTTTCACTGTGCCAAATTTTACAAGTGTCTTTGTAGTACACATTGCACTATGGGGGTTCTACACATGTGCACAAGCTACAAATTAATTGCTCGCATACATGTACACGGGCAATTCCACGCAAAAGCGGACTTTTTGTCTTCCGTAACGAATGTCATTATTTGTAATTCGTAGATGAAAAGAATTTATTTATTCCTCCTATTCTTCTGAACAGATCTTGGTATCCTCTGAAAAAATATTTAGTATAATTTAATTTTTTTTTTCTAATAGGTCCCCAGCATCACCGGTGTCCATCCACTTCTAGGACCAATGGCCGGTGGGTCAAAGGTCACACTGACAGGTGAACATCTGAATGCAGGAGGCACTAGGAGTATCACTGTGGCTGGTATGCCATGTAACATCAGTGATCCCACAAAGTAAGTCAAATAATGTTATTATTTTTCCTATACAAGGTGGATCGTAAAAAACTAAACCGAGATATTGCTAAGGCCAAACAACAAAAATTGTGTGTTTATGGTAACTGTCTGAAAAAAATCCAGGTAGGTAGGTCGGGAAATAATTTTATTTTGTAATATTTTTTTATTTCAGTTCTGCATGCTCATGCGTGTTCTCTCGCAAAATATTTGTATAAAAACATTACCGGTTATCAAGCATTCAAGATATTTAATCGATATATTTCTTTTCAATTTAATTCGTACCGTCCTGCAGGGTTCTCCCCAGGATTTTTTCAAACCTGTGGGGAAGTTTTGCTGTGATTCAACAACCTGCGAAGCCATGGTGTGGGGTCCGCTTTTTTAGGGCACGCGAAAGGAACCAAACCAAAGGAAACCTAACAGAGGATATCTCCCTTTGATTCACATGTGCCCTACTTCTGTTCCAATTAGCAATAATATCTCGTTTTTTTTTTTTTAATCCACCCTGTGGATCACATCTGTGAAAACAAAAACTCTTTCTGGGCAGTTACTCAAACAAAAGTTGTTAGATATCGTTGAAATATATTAAAAATCTAATTTCCGTGGCAAAACTATGCCCTTTCAAATTTCATTATATCACAAGACTAGAAAAATTGCCTGTAAAAGTTGGGGGGTCATGTATTTCTTGAACTGGTGCACCTTAAAAATCGTTTAAAAAAAAAACACCTTCATTAACAAAATTACGGTTTGAAGCATTAACAGAATATCCAAGACATATAATCACAAATTTAAAATAAAAAAAGTGGGGGAAAAATTAAATTCCTAAGCAGTATAGACTAATCCAAGTTGCCCACTTTCTGTGATCGCATTGGTATTTCACAAAATGTACCACCCTTCAATGACATGTTTACAGCTATACAAAATGGCATAACCGTCATCGTAATTTCACAACGGAATTGGTGTATGTCATGTTTAGTAGCTTTGTAAAATTGGGCCCTGATTGGAATTCAGTGTATTTTTCATCATGTTTTCAACCAGAATAGACCATTTACTCATAGACAAACGCCCCCATCTTGCGCCCAGAATTTGTTTTACGGTAATGTTGATGATTTGAGTTTGTACACTTGCCTGACGGTGTGTATGTGTCTTTGTGCAACAGTTTGTCGTCTGATGTCATCAGCTGCGTCACATCCGCAAGCACGGACCTCATCCAGGGGCCAATCATAATGACCTTTGACCTCGTTGGGACGGCTATGAGTTCCAGCAACTTCTCTTACAAAGGGAATCCGGTGATCACGATGCAGGAACGCGACCAGACAATCCTCAGGTACGTTGGCACTGTTGTGCAGTTTGGATGATCTGTGGGAAAGAGTATTTTGGAAATCCTGGTCATCACAGTGATGCTATGACATAGTCTTTCAACAAGTTAGCGTCTGGTGCCATTTGAAAGCCTACACCTGAAATATACAATGTATGCTTGGATTTTGAGAACGTTCCCAAGTTCTATGTTTTATTAGTAAATTCGCCCAGTCATTGTACCAACCCAAAAAAGTGCCGTAAACTGCCTGTGTACTCTATGATTTGAATGATTCATCAGTAACGTGAAACAATGTAGCACAGGTGCTGATGGGTTAAGAAACGCCTCGAATGTCGTACATCTGTGACCGTTATTGGCATTTCAGTTGTGGCAACTTCTGACCACTATGGTTACTAACATGTTCAAGAGACTTGTCTTAGAAAGCTTCTTTCAATAACTGAAAATGTGGCATTTTTTGCATGTTCTTATGTGCAGTGGTGGGTTGGACTTGCCGATAACAGGAAGCAACCTGAATGTGGTGCAGGAGCCCAAGATGATGTTTCGTATCGAGAGAACCCGGCAAGACATGCGGGCCAAGAGACAGGCAGACCAGCAGCTTCTTACCACCATCACCACGGTAAATACTGTCACAATCGATACATGTATGCGCACTCTCATGATAAAATGATAACAAAGCTGCACAAAGTATCCAAGTTAAGCTTGGATCAATCACAGTGTCACCTCTATCCTCTAATGTCATAGATGAATGCATCAAGATTTATTTATTTCGTTTTATTTTATTTTAGTTTATTTATTTATTTGTTATTTTGACTGGGTAACCCATTTACTGTCTCCCATGGGGCCCAGCAAAGAGAAGATAGTGTGAAGAAATTACAGTTTCAGATGTAGGAGGAAAAACCCAGAAGGATTTTCTGAGGAAAACCCACGGAATCAGGCAGGGACTGAAAACCCAATCCACATATTGGCCCAGGCGGGATTTGAACCCGGGTCACAGCGGTGGAAGGCGAGGAAAGTACCGCTACGCCAACCTGACTCACCTGGCTATCAAGATATGATCTCAGTCAACCAAACTAACTCACAAACATTTCAACAAACATTCAGCCTCCTTTTAATAACAAGACTAGACAACAGTGCACAAAAATTATTTTCAATTGTGTCGGTAGGCTAAAAAGTTTGTAGAATAAGATGTTGTGTTAAAGGGAAAATACAACATTTTCAAACATCAAAAAATAAAACTACCCAACCATTTTGAAATACCTTGCTGGACTGTTAGTGAATGACAGTGTTAAGCATCCTGTAAAATCATGGCACCTGGTATACTGTCATTTTCAGGAAAAGTGGTATTTTTGTATCAATTTCCAACGTTGATCGGCCTACCAGCATTGGAAAAAACTGGCTTTTTTTCAAATACTGGCCCCAATTGACCATCGCACATGTTTGCAATCGATTACACACCTATGAACGGGTACAAGCCAGCTAGACTGGTTCCCTGACCTTACAATTCCCCAATGTATGTAAACTGCTCTGTTTCTTCTTATATGGAGTCAGGGAACCAGACTACAGGAAAATGATTGTTTTTCTTGATTTTTATAGCATTTTCGAACCAAAACCTCAAAAAAGTCGGTGTAACTATATTTGCTATATATTTCCAACCCCCCAATTCCATCCATTTCTGAAAATTACAGCAAAAGCAAATGATGTATATTCCCTTTAACATGATGGCAATAAAAAAATCTAGATTTGCCATTTTTAAGTTGTTTTTTTTTATCTGTGTTGCAGAAGTGTACCGTGAATAGTGCGACTTCAATGACCTGCAAGTCGCCCGATCTCAAAATCCCAGAACTTGCCAATGCCTTCACCTTCGACGACAGCACCTCACCACCGTCCTTCATGCTGCCGAGTAACAACATCGACTTTGTCATGGATGCAGTCACCATTCCATCCTCCAACAATTTCCAAGTGTTTGTCGACCCAGAATACTTCATGTTTGACAAGACTGAGACAGTGGTGTATAATGAGCGCAAGATACTAGAAATCAAGGTGAGATGATGTTGATTTTCATCTAATTAAAAATAACAATAATACTCACTAGAAGCTGATTTTAAAGATCTAATGAGCTGAAAAAAAATTCTGAGCAGATGAATTATTCGCTTACCAAAAACCGATTACCGGCCAAAATGTTATAAGAATTCTATTAACTGTGACTGATTCTCTGCCGTTTTTTTGCTGAGCAAGTACATTTGCTAAGCATTACTGCTGCTTAGAAACTCCATAAAAATTGGGTCTTTTCCATCATTTGATGTTTTTTGCTGTGATTTTTTAATCTTTGAGTGAGCATAAAGATGTAGCACACAAACAGTAATGTCAAATTTGTATCATATCCTGTTCTAACAGTCTTTAAAATGCAATTTTTTCCACATTCGTCAGGGTCGTTACATCAAAGCAACGTTCATGACAGGCGATGTGGCAGTCACAGTAGGCAATCAGTCCTGTAGTCTAATGATGCAACCTGATAATGCCGATGGCATATCATGTGAAGCCCCTGATAACGAAGTTGGCCGGACCTATGACGTTGTAGTAAGTGATCTATAAGGATTGTTTTGTTTTGTTTAATCTGTCAAAGACATTTGGGTGTACAGATCTGTCATAAACAATAGATAAAAAGTCTGATTACATCCATGGTCTTTTCAATCTTTTGACCCATGAGGCGGGTCGAGTCAGTGAAATATTTCGACACATACACAAGAACCACTATATTCCACATGTGTGTGTAAGGATATTTCACTGGTTAGGGTCTGGTTGCCGATACTGGCCCAATCCAAGCTTTATATGATATGATGTATGAGATAAGTGTGACAGTATTATATAATCAAACTGTGAACAGATGATTTTGGACAGCAAGTTTAGACAGTTTTCAGGGCCAGTTTTGTTTCTCCATTGAAAGACAGTTTTAATATAAAAAATTCTAAAACCCATGTTAATTGCTCTATTATACATTAATCGAACCCCTAACTTCTTGACTTTCCAACTTTGGAAAATAAATCATGTTATTTCGTTAAAAAAACAAGACTTAAAACTAATTTGTTTTAATTTAGGGGTCAGTTTATACTATCAGTGTTAGTTTCTGGCCACTTCTCAACAGTGTTTAAACAGTAAATCCCAAAGGACAGGCTCTCAACTATTACAAATTGGTAATCTGTCCTGAACATTTATGACTGAATCCTAAGGGCTGATGTACTCCCTTCCCCACCCCCTAGGTACATCACGGCAACTTGGTGGTCAAGGTGGGTCGTCTGGAGTACCTCTCTGAGGGGCTACCCTTGCACATCATCATCGGTGCCGCCTGCGGGGCCGCGCTCATCCTCTTCATCTTGCTCTTCATCATCTGCATCTGGCGCCGCATCAGCGCCAACGAGCGCCGCTTCAAGAAGATGGAGACGCAGCGGGACGAGATGGAGATGAGGGTGGCGCAGGAGTGCAAAGACGGTCAGTAGAGGGCGACAGACTAATGCAGATCACTTTGGGCAACGCAGCGAACAAAAATAGAAGCTGTGTCCGAGATGAATTGTTTATGCGCAAATACACATGTGACACACATTCCTAAACTCAAATCAAGCACTCATTGTGGTAACCCTATGGGTCAAGAAGCACAAAGTGTGCGCATACCAACTGTGCACATACCAACTGTGCGCATACCACTGTGCGCATACCACTGTGCGCATACCAACTGTGCACATACCAACTCTGCGCATACCAACTCTGCGCATACCAACTGTGCGCATACAAACTGTGCGCATACCAACTGTGCGTAAACCAACTGTGGGCATACCAACTGTGCGCATACCAACTGTGGGCATACCAACTGTGCGTATACCAACTGTGCGCATACCAACTGTGTGCATACCAACTGTGCGCACACCAACTGCGCATACCAACTGCGCATACCAATTGTGCGGAGCGTGGTTCCTCATTAATATTAATGGCTTCAAATTCAGGTCACTGAATTAGTCTGTAGGGTTTAATCTAAAGGTGCATCTATTTTTTCTCTTTTTCACAAACACTCACACAGCTCTGGCAATGCTTTTAAACTAGTTTGGCAAGGCACGCCAGTAAACCTGTGCCTAAGGGCTGAAAATATTGTCTTGAGCATCTCAGCACATTTTTTTAACTCTGCGAAATTAAGAAAATTAATTTTGTACTCAAAGGGTGTAAACTACACCATTGAAAGGCAAAACCAAAGCTTTGAATCAGTTTGAGTAAGACGTGGCTGCACTTTTGAACAGCTTCTGTATAATGTATTCAGCAATCTCTGCTTGCCGCACACAGCTGGTGTCCTCTACTCCTAAATTCACACTTGTTACTCTAAAGCTGAATAACTCACAGCTCATTGTGTGAAGTGTAACAGTCAGCAAATTGCTTATGCTCCGTGATAATCGACTTCACCTCAACAGGATTCCAAGGAATTTATGTAGTCAGCCTCAAGCCTAGAGCTGCAAGCTCTGATGACGGCACACATCTCTTCCAGTTTCACTCGAATACTATGTCAGATGGGCACATCCCCTACCCCCGTACTTGATATCACCCTTTCCCTAGAGCCAAGTCATGACTTCTCTCCGTTTCTCCATTGCAGCCTTTGCCGAGCTGCAAATCACAGTCCTGACAGTGAGCAGCGACGTGGAAGGCTCCGGGATACCCTTCAGAGACTACCGCGACTATGCGGCAAGGTTTCTCTTCCCGGATAATCCCTGCCATACTGTCTTCAGAGAGATCCCAGTCGTACGTGAAAACGTAAGTCAAGAACAATTGAAAAAAAAACAGTTTCGTTTAAAGATGCATTCCCGTGCATCAAAAACATTCCCACTATGTCTAGGACTCTCACAAATACATTCCCGTGTTTCAGTTTGCTCAGACTCGAGCATCAAGCATAATCTCAGCTTTCCTTTGATGTCAAAACCCTAGAATCCAACTCGAAATGTCTAGGATTATCACAACTACATTCCCACATCTCGGCCTGTTTAGATCTCAGGCGTCAAGCGCAACATCCTAGAGAAGGGCCTGGTCCAGTTTGGCAACCTGATCAGCAACCACACCTTCCTAGCAATCTTCGTCCGGACCCTGGAGGCTCAGAAGACCCTGGCTCTTCGTGACTTGAGCAACATCGCCTCCTTGCTGGCCATCGCTCTGCACAACAAGATGGATTTCCTGACGCAGACCATGAAATTCCTTCTCCAGGAACACATCAAGTTATACGTCAAGGAGGGACGACCTCAGCTGCTGCTAAGAAGGTATGGGGAGCAGTTTTGTAGTTCTTTGTTGTTGGTCATAGGCCTATGTCTTGTGACCTCACTCTTGATTGTACTTGTGATCTGACTTACGATAGTACATTTAAAAGTAAAGAAATGCCTAGCAGCTACTAAAACTCATAGTGGAGAAAAAGGTTTTGAAAAAAATCAATGGGGCTGACTTTTTTTTCCATTTTTAGATTTTTGATATTTGTAATCTTTGATTTGTCTACTGAACATATTTTACAGAAATAGTATAAAAAGTGTGGAATAAAGTTGTTTTAAGGAAAAACACCTGGCATCTTTCATTTTCACGACAACAAAACTCAAAACTTTAAAAGCCCTTTTTCCAGTGTTTTACTTTTTGGACATGTCAATAAATGTGAACTTTTAACAGCCATAACTTGTCAACGGAATGTCCGACTGAAGTGCAACAAACAGTATTGTGAGGATAATTTTCTTCTCTGTCCTTATACCTGCAAAATCCTAATTCTCTGCCCAGTTATGTCTCATTTTACCAGAAAGCCTCACATTTTACTAGTAATAGACTTGACTAAAACTCTAGTTTCTAGTTACATGAAAGTCAAAACACCTGCCAGGATTCTTAACAACAAGTTGAACAGTTCATCAGTCGCATTGGAATGGATTTTTTTATTTGATTTGTTGTTTTGTCTTCGTTGTTTTTTTGGTCAGTCTAAGAGCAAAGCCTTCTGTACAAATCCTCATTATTCCAATCCACCATTTTCAAGTAACGACCTGAATATATAATTTGAATAATTTTTGTGATTTCAGGAGCGAGGCCGTCGTCGAGAAGCTAGTGTCTCATTGGCTGTCCATCCTGATGTATGATTCCTTGAAGGACAACATGGGGAAACCCCTCTTCCACTTGTTCTACGCCATCAAGCAACAGGTAACGTCACCCAGTTAGACAACTGGGCCTAGATTCACGGAACTGCTCAGCCTAAAAAATATCTGCTAATAAAAAATGGTTACCAGCCAAAATGGCATGGGTTGCGTATTGCTCGTGACTGGTTCTCAGCCATATATGCTTAGCATAAACAGTGTGCTAAGCCGTATTTAAACAGCTACATGAAATTGGATCCTGCTAAGGAGAAATATGGCTTAGTGGCAATAAATGCAAGTAAACATCATCAGAGAACTAACCAGTAGTAGTATATAAACGTAATAGTATATAAAAGTAATAGTAAAGTCCGTCACCAGTCAATATAGCCCATCAGGCCGGCGTTTATCTCCGGTTTCAGTGGCATGAAACGACTGAGAATATTTCTCTTCACCCTGGATGGGATGCTAGTCCATTGCATGTTAATGCCGGTACCCATTTATACTCCTGGGTGGAGAGAGGCAAGTGGGAGTGAAGTGCCTTGCCCAAGGACACAATATATGGCCAGTTGCAGGATTCAAAATCTGACCCTCTGTTTCATGTGTCATGAACCCTAACCATAGGAGTATATGCCACCCAATTGCCCCACAATTGCAAAGCTGCTTAGAGCAGAAAATAACACATAGTAAAATTGTTTTTACATTGGCAACATCCTACAAGGGAACCATTTAGAAGTGAATTTGACATTCATATACCTTTGCATTTTGACATCGATCCTAATCTTGCTAAGAAGTAACCTTTCTGTAGTTTATTGAAATAATTAAAAGAGGTCACATTGTGGGAATCTTCTGTGAGGAATTAAACTTCTGGCCCTGCAAATTTATAAATTTATTGTTCAATATCTAACTTTTGTTGAAGGACATTAGTCCAGATTGTTCATTGCCTGTATCCGGCTAATTGTTTACTTTTGGATTTGCTTTTGAAGCCAAATTTTGAATTGTATCTTTCCTAACATTTTCTTTATCTGAATCTAATAATTTGGATTTCTTCTGTTTTTTTTTTATTCCTACAGATTGACAAGGGTCCAGTGGATGCCATTACCGGCGAAGCCCGGTACGGACTGAGTGAGATGAAAGTCATCCGACAGCAGATTGACTTTAAAACACTGGTAAGCATCCTTCGTAATAACAAAAGTAATCAGTTTTAAATGACATGGTTTTTAGAAACTTAAGGGAATTTCAGTTTCAAATTTCACGGAGTCAAGCAAGCAAGTGAAAAATAAATTACTAGAAAAGAAATGCTACGCTGATGATATTTGTAGATCAGTTGAAATAAATTCACAGTTCCATGTTGAGAAATTTATCCCTGTGCTGCTTGTATTCTAGAACATCTACACCAACAGTTTGGACATCACCTCAGAACCCATCCAGTTGAAGGTGCTGGACTGCGACACCATCTCGCAAACGAAGGACAAGATTCTGGATGCCATTTACAAATCCTGTCCGTTCAGTAAACGACCCACAAGAGAAGAGCTAGATTTAGGTGAGAAACTTTGTTTTTACCACATCTGAACTATTTTTACAATTGTTGCAATAGTGAAACTAAATTTGCATTACAACCATTAGGCCAAAAAAAAAAATAGTCAGTCTCTGGTCAGCGCGCGCGTCGATTTTAATCATGAGCGTCAATCCTTTTTTTTTCCAAAAACGCGGTATCTCCAACAGAAGCCTCTATTGCCGCACCTCCTCAAATTTTTGTACCAAGGAGCACCAAGGAATGGGAAATTGCACCAAGGCAAATGATCGAGGGCACCAAGGCAAATTATGAAGGACACCAATGTACATGAGGACACCAACAAATGCAAAAATAGTACCCCACCTTGTCTGTACAATCCAAGCTTGAAAAAAAAAAAAAAAAAAAAAAGCCGCGTCGCCGCATCAATTCCGGAAGTTTGGTCTGACCAGAGACCGAGTATTTTTTTGGCCTTACCCAGAGTTTAATAGATTCATTCACAAGTCAAGTTGCAATAAATATAAAATAAAAAAGTTCCGTGAGACGAACAAAAATTTTCATTGTCAAACTTTATTTGAATGGTTTTGTAACTATGCTTTAGAGTGTTCATTATTTTTCTCCTTCCAGTGATTTTATTATTGTCCTAGTAATTGACATTATTCAATGATTGTTGCAGAATGGAGTGACAGGCCGGACGGCCCTAGCAGCATGATCCTCCTAGATGATGATTGGCGAGGCAGATTTGATGGAGAGTGGAAACGCATCAATACCCTAGCACATTACCAGGTCAGTACGGGAGCCCTGCATATATACCTCCCCAGCAGTTACGTGGCCAGTTTCCACCCCTGATAGTTTTAGTCCGAGACTTGAATTGGGTTTGGTTCCCAGTTGGGCCCTGACAAGCAGGGCTTTGCATTTATGGGAAGTACGGAAATTGGGTACCCGATCAAAAAAAAAAAAAAAAAAAAAAACCAACCCCAAAATGTAAGTCTTGGAAGTTGCTTTACAGATTGTACTTAAAAGTCCGCACAATAATACTACCACACTAGTGCCTCGATACAGCAAGATACAAGTGTCAGGCATGCAACTTTTCTTGGGATCAGCTGATTTCCTCGTTTTTTTCACTTGAAAAACACTTTACAAAGTCTTGTAAAGATTAGAGTTTCGCCATTTTTTTTGTTACTTCCAAGTTGCATGCCTGAAGTGTGTACAGTGAGCTCAATAGGCCTACATGTAGCATTAAGTTGCATTTTCGCAAGCATCATATACACGAATCTGTTTTGTTTCTCCATTTAGCCTGGTTTTCATGTTGAAAATGCTCCTTGAATGGCATTTGAAACCTTTTTTAAGTAATATGCAAACTAATATGCAAAGTTGGTTACGGGTACCCAATTCCATAATCTGGAACCGTTTCCTGACACCAGCGTTCGGGTACCTGGTTCCGACACACGCCTCTATACTGACAAGCATGAGCAAGCCTATCAGAGGGGACTATCAACAGGATGAATCAGATTCAGTTTTGGAAACTTTTGCACTCAGACCGAAAAAATCCAAAGCATACCTCATGCGTGTGCCTCAACTTGAATATAGCATACGTGAGGTATTCTGGGAATTTCTTGGGTTCCAGTGCCAAAGTTCCCAAGCCTGGTTTGACAAAGCATGTTGACGGTGCCATCTTCCACAGCAACTATAACCAGATTGTTGTCGTTAACAGAATGTGTATTAACAAGATCCTAAGGTATATTTAATTGAACTTGTCTAAAGAAATAAGTGGAAGTCAGTAAATTAAAAAAAACAGATTGTGCAAACCAAAAAAAAAACAAGAATTATGTAATTATAATTTAGTTATCCTTTTTCTTTCCACGTAGGTGCCAGATGGTGCAACCTTGAGGTTAGTGAGAGCCCAGCCTAATGGTGGATCCCTGCCCAACACACCAGCAAGGAAATATGGTAAGCCATACCACGACACCCAACCCTGACGCATCTACTTTACGGTCGGCACAAATGTCACGTTTTAGCCAACCAAGTTTCAATACAAGTCACAAGGTGTATTATTCTGTTAACCTAGCAGTTCTGAACTTTGAAACATGTTCTCACTACAAAAAAAATATTTTTTAAATAAGGAAAATATTCTTGAAATTGGAAATTGACTAAGAAAAAAGAACTCATGTGAGAACAATTTTCTTAATATTTAAATATCAAAAATTTTAAGAAAATTTTTCTTTCCAAAACAAGGTTTTCTTATGACACTTCTCCGAACAAGAATTGTATTTTTTATTCAAGAATATTTTTCTTGCTTAAGAAACTCATTTTTGGCAGTGTACTGCCCTAAACTGCCCCGCCTGTTACCAACCCAGCACTCTATGGTTGTAGGAATTCATCTGTGAAGAAATACAATGTATTAGTATTTGTATCAGACTTCCAGTGGTAAATATAGATCAGTGTATTGTATACTTTCGTAAAAAGTATCAGGATGACTGCAACATTATGTCAGTAAAACTACCCGGATGACTGCAATATTATTTTTGATATTGTCCTCATCCGGGTATTCAATGAATTTCACTGGTTCCCGCTCAATCAAGAGTGTAGAAACTCACAGTTGTTAACCAGTGAACAGATTGTAGCTGTCGCGCATGCACATTAGGTACTGCCTTATTCAACAAAAATGCCAGCTACATGTACAAGCGGCGCGAGATTCGCTTCGGTTGGCAAAGAATTTGACGAACTTTGAGAACTAAAGATGCTGAAAAATACCTGGAAGCAACCAAGATGACACTAATAATAATATTGGATGGCTTTTTTTAAGGGGATACAATAATATAGTGCTTTGTATCCTCTGGCAAAAAGCGCTATATAAATACAGTTATTATTGTTATTATTATTATTATTATTATTATAGTGCACTTGCAATAACAATATTATCTTATACATGCAATATATTCTTGTATCCCCCTCAAAGCCATGCAATATTATATAAATACAATGTAGCAAAGCTGCTTTTTATGAGCTAAATATTGAATGTAACCTGTCCCCAAACCTGCAGGTATAGGCACGATGCAGAGCCCTGCCACCTCAGCTTCACCCATCATAGACCAGGAGAAAGGAGTCAACCTGTGGCATCTGGTCAAGCATGTAGACTCGGGTAGTCTACGTAAGGGGGAGAGAGACCAGAAGATGATGGCTGAGATCTATCTCCCTAGGCTACTCACTACAAAGGTAAGGATTGGGTTAACGGTACTAGGGTTATTGGCTTTTTGTGCATTTTATTTTCGTCTGAAGCGACAAAATTGCTCAAAATCTTGAGGAGGGTGCATAGCAACTAACCTGTGGAAGTTTTAGCAGCTCAATGGCATCTATACATTCTAAGAAAACAAAGGCAACACGTGTACACTTTTCGGGTCTGGTAACTTAATTCCATTGCTAAAGCGCATAAAAAAGTGTGCCTGCAGGCACATTTTTAATAATCGTCTTTGATTATTGTTTTCTTTTGAACGATACCATTTCAGGCAGAATAATTTTATGGTGTATTTGGTACCATACCTATCTTCACTGTGAGAAAAAATTTTCTCATTAAACCAGTAGATCCTTTTCTGCCTTTTATCAAGCCTTGTACGTGCCTTTAAAGATGTACTGTCGATTCATCGACAGAGTCTTATTTTTTTTTTTTTTTTTACCAACCGATGTGGTTTATTAAACAAGAAAACTAGTTTTCTTTCTATGCCGGGTGTCTGCAACCGTCTGAACAAAGCATTGAGGTTGCACCGCTGTTGTGCATGATAGATCCACCCTGCGAGTGGACTGGTTCCCGATCCATGCATTATCAATCCTGATAGGGGCAGGAACCAGTCTACTGTTGTGTATGAATAGTTCCACCCTGTGAGTGGACTGGTTCCCGATCCATACATTTTCAATCCTGATAGGGGCAGGAACCAGTCTACTGTTGTGCATGAATAGTTCCACCCTGAGAGTGGACTGGTTCCCGATCAATGCATTATCAATCCTGATAGGGGCAGGAACCAGTCTACTGTTGTGCATGAATAGTTCCACCCTGAGAGTGGACTGGTTCCCGATCGATGCATTATCAATCCTGATAGGGGCAGGAACCAGTCTACTGTTGTGCATGAATAGTTCCATCTCGTGAGTGGACTGGTTCCCGATCAATGCATTATCAATCCTGATAGGGGCAGGAACCAGTCTACTGTTGTGCATGAATAGTTCCACCCTGAGAGTGGACTGGTTCCTGATCAATGCATTATCAATCCTGATAGGGGCAGGAACCAGTCTACTGTTGTGCATGAATAGTTCCACCCTGCGAGTGGACTGGTTCCCGATCAATGCATTTTCAATCCTGATAGGGGCAGGAACCAGTCTACTGTTGTGCATGAATAGTTCCACCCTGCGAGTGGACTGGTTCCCGATCAATGCATTATCAATCCTGATAGGGGCAGGAACCAGTCTACTGTTGTGTATGAATAGTTCCATCTCGTGAGTGGACTGGTTCCCGATCCATGCATTATCAATCCTGATAGGGGCAGGAACCAGTCTACTGCAAGAATCGAATTATCAAAGTAATTATCAATAACTAAACTCGTTTTATTTAATTGTTTTGTTTGAATTTTCGTACAAAAGTGACTAGCTTTTTGTATTGCAAGAAACGTAGTATTTAAGAAAAAAAGAAACTTTTTTTGTGGTGAAACTTGGGAAAAAAGGTGGGACAGTACAATTTTTTTCAAATCTTCAAATCTGACAACCTTATCTTTCTGTATCGTACAGGGTATCCTGCAGCAATTTGTGGACGAGCTCTTGGAGACCATCTTCAACGGTGAATCGGACGTTCCCCTCGCTGTTAAGTACCTCTTTGACTTCCTGGATGAGCAGGCCACGTCGCATGGCATCACCAACCCCGATGTCGCACATGCCTGGAAGAGCAACTGGTAGGACGTTCGGATTCTGACCCAGCGCTTAACCTAACCCCGACTCAGTTCTCAAAAATCAGCAGTCGTGGCTATATTACTTCAACACATTACCCCCTGTACTGCCCAAAACCACCCTCCCGCACTGCCCAAAACTGCCCCAGCCTGCCCAAGCCTTCCCCAGCCTGCCCCAGCCTTCCCCAGCCTGCCCCAGTCTGCACCAGCCTTCCCCAAGCCTGCCCCAGCCTGCCCCAGTCTGCCCCAGCCTGCCCCAGTCTGCCCCAGTCTGCCCCAGCCTGCCCCAGTCTGCCCCAGCCTGCCCCAGCCTGCCCCAGTCTGCCCCAGCCTGCCCCAGTCTGCCCCAGTCTGCCCCAGCCTGCCCCAGTCTGCCCCAGCCTGCCCCAGCCTGCCCCAGCCTGCCCCTGCCTGCCCCAGCCTGCCCCAGCCTTCCCCAGCCTGCCCCAGTCTGCACCAGCCTTCCCCAAGCCTGCCCCAGTCTGCCCCAGCCTGCCCCAGCCTTCCCCAGCCTGCCCCAGTCTGCCCCAGCCTGCCCCAGCCTTCCCCAGTCTGCCCAAGCCTGCCCCAGCCTGCCCCAGCCTGCCCCAGCCTGCCCCAGCCTGCCCCAGCCTGCTATGGTTTTACGGATTGATCAGGGAATAAGAACAATATTATACCATGTAGTACAGATGCTCATTGTTACACCTGAGCCAAAGGGTAAACCCACCCTTCTAACTATCTCGGTCGATCCCTTGAAAGTTCAAGACCTTAAAAATGGGATGCCTCGTGGCTAACCAAGGCTGTTCCTTGCATCATTGCCTGGCTTGTGCGTAAAGCGCTCCCCTCTCACCACTGTGGCCCTGGTTTGATTCCCGGCCGCGGACCATTACCATATGTGAGTAGAGTTGTGCATTGGTTCTCTCCTGTGCCATGAGGCTTTTCTCCGGGCCCTCCGGTTTCCTCCACGCGGAAGAATCAAACACTTCCGATCTCAGGCTGTGCTCCGTGGTCATATATGGGTCGATGTGGCTGGCTGCCAGAAATGCCATTACATGCCAGCGGCTCGACCACGTTGTAGCCGCGTCCTTCGCAATTCATCTTCTCAGCTGCGAGTAAGGATGATTAGCCTCCCAAATTATCAATAATATTATTATTATCAATAAAATTACATTTAACTGGTGAGATATATATTTTTCTTGAACTTGGTCATTCTTGAACTTGATCATATTGTCATAATATCAAAATTGTGGCAATTGATTTCTTTGCAGATTCAGAAAGATTCCCAACAAAAAAAGTGCTTTACAACTAAAAATTTCCAATCCTCTCTCCACCCCCCCATTCCTACAGCCTTCAGCTTCGGTTCTGGGTCAACCTGATCATGAATCCCACCATCCTGTTTGACATCAACAAGACGGACACGGTAGACGCCTGCGTGTCCATCATCGGCCAGACACTCATTGATTCCTGCTCAGTATCTGAACAGCATCTGACCAAGGACTCACCGTCCAACAAGCTGCTGTATGCCAAGGATATCCCACAGTACAAGCAGTGGGTCGCCAAGTAAGTTCCTCAAAATAATAATTGTTATTCGTTTCTTGTTATGAATCAGTGTTGTTGTCGAGTCTGTCACAAGTCCATCACAAGTCAATCACACTTCATCACAAGTCTTTCACGAGTCCATCACAAGTCCATCACAAGTCCATCACAAGTCCATCACAAGTCCATCACAAGTCGTCACAGGTCCATCACAAGTCCTTCACAAGTCCTTCACAAGTCTATCACAAGTCGTCACAGGTCCATCACAAGTCCACCACAAGTCCTTCACAAGTCCTTCACAAGTCTATCACAAGTCCATCACAAGTCCTTCACAAGTCCTTGCGATGGACTTGTAATGGAGTTGTGGACTTGTGATGGACTCGACTACAACACTATTATGAAACCAAGGATTCCTCAAAAGCCCAAGGCACTAAAGCTTGCAAGAGCTGTAGCTCAAACTGTAGCTCGAAGAAACCTGTTGAGAGAAGACAATAAAGAAATCTTCTACGTAACAGGTGGATGGGAAAGCCTGTTGTGAATTAACGTCCAGACCATAATAAAAAGAGAAGCATGAATCATTTAATTTGAGAAAAAAATCTTAAGCTTGCTGGCCTTAGTGTACTGCCCAATATTAACCTAGGAATTCCCAGACACCAATTGTAAAGATTTTGTTTCTGTTCTTGTTTTTATCTCAGATACTACAAAGACATCAGCGATATGGCATCAGTCAGTGACCAGGACATGAGTGCTATGCTGGCCTCTCACACCAACCGCTACCAGAATGAGTTCCAGCCGCTCAATGCACTCAATGAGCTCTACTTCTGCTACGCCTGCGTCTTCAAGAGTGAGGTAGGCTATGAATTGAGAGGAAGAGAGATATCAGACATGGAGTACTTTCAAACAACGATATCTGATGGAATTGTCGGCATGCATGCAGTGTATATTTAACGATCAATTTTTACAAAATTTGGTATGGTAGTTGAGACACTCATGCTAAGTACATATGTGATGCGATCAAGCTAAATGAGTCATTTGTCGACCCCAGTCAAACAATTTTTATTGCAGATTTGAAAAGAGCACAATCTCAGCATTACTGCTGTGAAAACCTTATGCTGGTACCATCTTTAGTTCAATAATTATGGAAGTCGGAACACCAAGAGATGTGATGAAGTGATGTGATGAAGTGGCCCTATTTCTGGCCTGTAAATGAAAATTCCCGACAAACGACTCATTTAGCTTGATCGCATCACATATTGAAAGTTTTAGCTCATTTGGACAAATTTGGTAGTTGTGATCACTTATTCGCCATGCTTCCATGCTTTAATAAGTGCCAATGCCCATATATGGTCAATGGAAAACAAAGATTTTTCATCACCCTGTATCGTAAATTTTACATTTTGCTCAAACGCAACATCTGTTTTGTGTTTTGTTTTTTTTTTAAAGGTGGTGTCGCAACTTCAGTTTCCAAACTTATATTATACTTATCAGGGTAAATCCCCTACCTCCCATGAGCATTTCACTGATGCACTGTATTCTGAATCGTTCCTTATGATGTTAAAAATGAGGTGCAGGTCAGCACCATATGCTAGTCCAAGTCAGTCATTTTGACCCCTCTCTTTCCCCCAACCCACCAGATCCTGCAGTCCCTGGACGAAGACAAGGAGGCCCAGAAGCAAGGCCTAGGAGACAAGCTGGAAGACATCTTCCGTCTGATGGCCGACTCTGCTTGACAATTACTGAAGGAGTCTCAGGTTTGATATGAACATCTTGCATCTTCTTCTCCAACAAACACCCTAACCCGACAGTGATGATTTACCCTCAATTTTGTCCCTGGAAGTGGAATCCAAACAGTGAAAATTTTCATGGAGGACTTTGCCGGAAAGTGCTGAGCAAGCAATATATTTGCTGAGGAACGTGAGATTACAAGCTAAAATATTGTGCAATTTCTGTACCACTCACACACTGGTGTTCACCTCCATGAAAATTTTGCCTGAGTAATATCTGTGGACAGATATTTAGGTATGGACCCTGTTCAATTATTGTGTCCACTTTTCACAGCTTTGATTTTCAAATTTAACAGTAAATGTTTGATTCATATAAGTTTACAGTCACTAACATTCACTATTAATGTTTCATTAATCCAGTTTTTCACAATTTCTTTTTAAATAGTTCTGTCTTATTTTAGGAATGTTGAAGTTGTTGCAAGCGGATGGTTAAAAATGTAAATCAATGTAAGCACAAAATGTAACAGTTTTAGGAAAATCAGTATCAATTAATTGATATAACCTTCAAAAAGGTTGAAAAGTTAATACTGAATTAAAAAAAAATGAATAAAGTATCTAAAAAAAAAGGATAGTTTTTATGAGGACATTTTTATAACAAAATGTTTCTCTATTTAATCAGGAGTCTTAATTTGAACTTTTCCTATGATACTAGTTTTCTGAGAAAGTATAATCGATACTTAAAAACGGTTCAGCTTTTTTAGTATTTTATCAAAGACAATTCCTAATTGTACTACTTATCCAATAGGTTAATCCAATTGTCTTATGACCAGTTTGTGTTTATCACAAGAATGTGAAATCATTGTCCGTTGGTGTCTTCGGGGTTGTAGGAAGGTGCAGTCAGATCTTGGACTCCTTCGAGTTCGTAGTTTTCCAAGCATTTATTAGTTTTAAGTTATTCTAGTGGAATTAGAGGTTGGGTAGTATCTCTGCACTTGGCATTTTTTTTGAAGTGATAGAGCAAAACTTGCTGTAAAATAGCACAAACACTTTATGGTCAAAAGTTGCTTGCGCCATATTTATTATATTTTTTTCTGGGTAAGGTTTAGCTTACTAAGTTATTGCCAAGTTAGGGCAAGGACCATTAGTCGACTAGTGGTTGATTTGTGACGTACCTTACGCCTGCGCACTGATAGCAACGTGCGAACGTCTCTCGTCAAATGCTGGTCAAAATGTCATCGCAAAACTTCTGGATCCTGGCTCTCTGCTAGCGTTATGAATGCGAGCGGCTGTTGGTTACCAGCGAAGCAACCAACCCCAGTAAGCTGGTTCCAAATAGTCGACTAGCGTAGTCAACCACCGTTGACTAGACAGAGTTCGGGCAAACGTTAGTTAACCATTGGTCAACTATAGTCCTTGCGCGAACTTGGCCTAAATTGTTACAGTGTCTAATAATGGAGTTGACAGTGGAGTTAACTCCCTGAATTCAGCCAATCAGAACAAGAGTTGCGCCTGGGTTATTCCACTTTGTGTACTTGGACTATACCATAATCATAAATTTGGTATGAACCAAGTTGTGTACAGCCAATGAGAGCGTGTGGATTACCACCAAGTTTGTGATGTCAGCCAATCATGTTGAGTGTTTGTCTTGGGCTGTTCCATTATTGAAATGGTAAGATGAAGTAGATTCAGGTCAGAAAGTGGCTCAGTTAAATCTTGCAAATACATTTGAAAACATGTCTGGCACACTCATATGCTGAATAGCTATGCAAATATTTCATTATAATCAAGAAATTATAAACAGACTTAACGTGTTAGTAGATAAAAGTAAGATATTGGATATAACTTATTGCAAGCATGAAAATATATTTATTTTCTATTTTGGCAGCATGGAGAATGTTCTGTCTTCCACGGTTGCTCTTGTACATAGCATTCAGGAAAATGAATCTTGCTTCAGTTTCAAACTGAAGCTCTTTGCTTTTAAAAATCAAGTGAGAAATAACAGTAAAATACACTGGTATTCGCAGATACACACGTGTGTGCCGATCGTGCTCATCTGCAAGTGTTAATTCAACTTGTTTTACCCAAGGTACTATGCAAGTTTTCATGACTTAATATGTTTTGTACTACACATCAGGACTTTCACACTATCATTTCACTGACCCTGGGTTGGACCCAGATCCAACACAGATTTTCAGATAGTACATTTTTTTATGTGTTGTGTAGAATTTTTTTTATAGAATGACAGGTGTTAGGCCAAAAAAAAAAGTCTCCGGTTTCTGGTATGCGCGCGCGTCGCCGTAGCCATGCGCGTCGGCAAAATGGAAAAGTTTTTTTTTTCAATGAAAGATGATGTCTCAAAACCGCCAAACTCACTGGTTTGACTGGAATCTTGCTGCTGCACAATTTTAACGTGTTTTTAGATTGGGTTATGGTCAAGAATAAGCTTTATGTGGCCTCTCTGGACTCCCATAATATATTTGCACTAAGTTTAGTCGGGCACCATTTGCAGTCATCAGCCGACATTTGAAGCAAAAAAAATCAGGTAAAAAAAAAAAAGCCGCGTCGCCGCACCACTTTTTGGGCAAGCTCCATACCAGAAACCGGAGACTTTTTTTTGGCCTTATGCTGTACGTCGAAGTGAACACTTGAGTATTTTAAAGGAGCAAACTTCAGGAAATAAATGTGTGATGAGTTCGTCTGGGATTATATAGATGTGATATACAGTGTAGTTGATATATATATGTAATAATTTTGTCTCATATTTCTAGATACTTTCTACGGGACTCTTGGAAGTTAAGCTAAAGTTTAGTCTTTAAGTGTTTGATGATTTCACAACTGATTCCTTTGAAGAATATTTTATTCCAGAAATTATGCAATTGTAGATTAGGACAGTGCATTATCGCTTAATTCTGTAAATATTTGTGCTAGAATGATTAAGATCAGATTGTATATTATGCAAATTCCAAAGGACTAATGTTGTACATGTACGTCCATTTCTTATAATTGTGCAGTTTATTAACGCAAAACAGAATCAGTACTTACTGAAGCTCTGCACGAGATGTATTTTTACCGATCTTTTCCACATTTGTAAGATAATTGAAAATATTTTTTAAAGAAAAAAATTAACACATTCGAATTCTTATACCATTCCAAAATTCTTTGAACTGAATTTTACTTTTATCACAGCATTTTGAATGTCACATTGTCTAATGAGGTAATACTTTTGTATTGAAATATAATTTTTTTTTTTTTTACTTTTCACAATTTGTCATTTTTATTGAAGCACCTTGTATAAACTGCTACACCACCCTGCAAAGATATTCTTGATATTTTCTGCAATTTGTCTAATGTCCTTTGCCCGTTTATGTAAAGCAACAAGCATAAAGTTTTACACCCTTAAATTCGATGTATTCATTATTCTCGAGTTATCTACAGGAGAAAGAATAAAATGTCATTGTCAACTTGAAATGAGTTGGAAACATTTGACCAATGGCAGTGCAAGGTTAAATCATGAATATGTATGAGGTATAATCATCTTGCATGGTGTTTATGCAAATGCTATGCAAATGAATGTAGGCTTGCTTTGTATTTAAGATCTGAAGAATACCTGAAATGAATCAATGTAAGCAGAGAGTATGTTAGCAGATAATGAAGATACCCTTAACCAAGATTAATTATAGCGTATAAGCAATTTGCTTAGCCAAAATATCATACCTGAGTGTTCTAGGAAATTGTCCCTTGATGCAGAGTATACAATATATTTCACATACGTACTAACATGTTGCAAAGTTTTTAGCACAAAAGATCCAGTATTGTAGTTCTCCGTATTTGCCAATGCAATGAGAATGTTTTCTATTGTACTTAATGACCAGATAACTATTAAATTTGGAGTTGTTGCTGATTATCAAGGATCTGAATTGTCTTATATTTTTTGTTACATCGCAGAATAACAAGTTGAAACCACCACATATTGTTTGAGTTAGTATAAGATTGACTTTTTCTTAACTTTTCTGACATATTCTTCTTTTTTTTAATATTAGTTTGAATTATTCTTTGGATTTTTATTGATTGCATTTATGGCTGTATATTTGCGTATTATTTGCATATTATTATTTGGCTTTTTATTTGGACAAAAAATATATTTTTGCTACTTGTTCATATTACTCTGCATTTTTGTTGAACTCTTTGTCTACAGTGAATCATAGTAGATCGGCAGATTATAAAAGCTTGATTGACCTTATTCTGTCAAAAAGAACGCTTAGCCTGAGGCAAAGAGTTGAATCTAACACTTTTTGGAATTAAAACAGAGCATTTGAATCTATATTGCATTGCTTTGAAGCTTGGGTTTTTTTTCTATTGTTTTTGGATTGTTTGTTGGTTGTGTGTTTGTTTGTTCGGTTGTTTTGGGGGGAGGGGTTTGGGGTTGGAGGGCAGAGTGGTGTGGCAAACAGTGTAATCCATATTTGAAAGCATTTCCCTTTATTTACCAAAAGGCAAAAGATCATGTGTATACTAGTGTGAAGTAAAACATACAAATTGTTGACACCAAATAACATACTTGTATATCCAGACTTGCGCTACTACTCTGCCAGAGTTTGTGACTGGTGGGAGCCGGCATATTTTTCCCAAGGAGAATTGGGGGTTATATGCATAATTCAGTTTTTCCTTTGAATCATTGCAAGACTCTAAGGCCGAATAAAAAAACATGTTTTTCGTCCGGGTTTTTGAAGAAAAAAAGGGGGGGAGAGGGGCTTTTTTTTTTTTTTTTCAAGATGGCCACCATTTGAAAATTTCCTGCAATCGTTGGTGTCTCCACTGTTCAAAGACACTTTTTTAAATGAAAGACAAGTTGGACAAGAGGAACTGAACATATTTACAGTGTCATTTAGAGTTGTTTTGGTCTACAATGAACAGTTTAGATGCATTTGCTTTAACCGCCGAATTTGTGGACTTTTTTGGTGGTTTTTTTTACTGCATTTATTCAAAAATATAAAATAATTTTTAAAAGGAAGCGGGCGGGGACGAGAAACATGTTGGGTTTTTTTTTAATTTGCCCTAGGTTCGTTTTCTTTTTTTCCCCTTAAATTAAAATTATCTCAACTATAAATTTAGAGAAGAAAAAAATAGTCGATGAAAATGAGCAGCAACGACGTGGATTCGATTATCTTTATATCCATAGCTCATTTCGCTATCCACAAGGCGACTGTGGTAGCTCGACGACGACCTTAAAATGTTGTAACTGGATGACTAAATAACAACAATGCTCTTGACATCATTGTTCTGAATCATGAATAAACATACTGCCGCGATGGAAAACACTGAATTATTCATTACCCGCCGCGCCCTAGCAGTAACAATACGCCGCCGGCCGCCATTGAAACCGGGGAACTCCCCTAATCGGTACGCGGATTTTCTTACTGTTTCTTCCCTTCGATCTTCATGCAGTCTTGATAGACAAAAGTGTGGATTTAATCTCCTGAATGTCAAGTGGATGAAGTAAAAACTCACCAAGCCTAGTACAGATAGAATGGAGATGGAATTTTACAAGATCTGACAAGGATTGGTCGTTGCCGTGCTGTGAGAGAGAGAGAACAGGTAAACCAGACAAATATGCCACTTTAATTCTCTGTGTGACAGGTGGGGTTGGGTGGGGCTGGGCAGAAAGTGCGCTCTAAATGGATTTGTTTTTATTCCTAAATGTTTTCCCTCAAATATTACTTGTACAGCTATGACTATGAGGGCAATAAATAACGTCAATGGGCAACATCCATTGTTGCATTTTCTGAATCAAGTACCCTTTCAGTTTCAAATAGCCTGCCCCTTTAATGTGTCGGTTTTCAAATAAACCTTTAAAATAAACGTTAACGGTAGCCTCTATTATTTTAATTATTAAAGTGCAGTTTTGAGATGTAGGCCAATAAATAAATTCAAATGCATTTGTTGATTACCAATTCCCCTTTGTGAATTTCAACTCGTCTGAGTATATTATGCTTTTTTTTTCTTTATATTTTTGCGGGGGAGGCTGATTTGCATGATAATACAATACTATAGCCTAGGCGTGGGTGTGCTATTATAGGCACGAGGTTGCGACATGGCCTTTGCGTCACTGCTGTTTTTTCAGCACCACATAGCAACAATTTTTTTTCTCGTATCAGTGTTCTGTTACTACTGTTTCATTTTGTTCATCAGAGCATGGCACCCGATGTTTTTAATAAGAGACATTGGAGGTTCATATTCTATGT